CACTCAGGAGGTAAGCCCAAAGTTTGGAATTTAATTTTCTCTTTTTCCTTTCTGCTTCATACAAGGGAATCTCTCTCTCTTTTTCTTTCCAACTCAGGACCCTCGGTGAGCAGCAGCTAAACATGGAGGCAACTGGAAGTTTCTGGCCATGGCAGGTGAAACTAAGGGGTGTCCATGTGGAGGCACCTAACCACTACCACCCAGTTTGGGTAAAGGATCTGGGTCTTTTTCCTTTTTTTTTTCCCCTCTTTCTTTACTCTTTTCTATCTTTTCTGGTTGTGGTCCCTGATCCTTACATGTGGCGCAGCTTGGAGCAAACTCACACGCTTTTCAGGTGACTTAAACCTTTTCTTATGCTAAATTCTTCCCTTCTCCTACTTGACTGGCTAAGGACAAAAGAAACCCACCTAGCCTTTAGTTTCCTATCATTAAAGTTCATAGCTATCACTCTAGTGAAGAACAGGAAGCATGGGAAAAGGTGGCCTTACATATTAAAAGGCTGCTAGAAGTTGAGGCCTTCATCCAGGGACAAAAGGAAAGCTCATAGTAGGCCATCACCTCTGGAAAGAAAACATGCAAGTGGCACTGGTGGCCTCCTAAGGTCAGAGACGTCTGACAATCTAAGACTGGACCTCAGAGGGGGATACCCTGGGGGAATCCTCTAGACCTCAACATCTCCAAATGGGATACCCTCAGCAGAGGTTCTGAGGTCTAGTACTAAACCATCCTTAGAATTTTCTCTTGCAGTTGCAATACTGTTTGGCCCCAATATTGTTTGGAACCTGGAGTTTACTGTTGAATGGCAAAGTGTGATGGCATTACATGTATCCAGGCTTTTGTGCTGCTGTTCTAAGCAAGTGGCCTGATCAATGTGTGATGCTCTCCTTTGGTGCTGTTTGGCCCCAGTGTTCTTTGGAGTAAGGAGGTTTGGCCTTTAAAAATTACACTGCCATGGAAACTGCTTTACCTGAAATTTTGGTTCACAGCCTTCATCGGATTAGCTATTGGGGTAAACAAAGTAAAACTGGCAAGCCTATCTCATGGCTAGGGCTCCAAACTATTGGATATGTCAGTGTTTGGCATAGAAGGTTATAAAACTATAAATCTAGCCAAAACAAAATGATCTTGATCTTGGTTTGCGTGCCTGTGTGTTTTTTTTTTTTTTTTTTTTTTTTTTTTTTTTTTTTTTTTTTTTTTTTTTTTTTTTTTGTTTTTTTACGAGTGAGAGTAATTCGTGAAAGGAAAATATTATCTTGGGCCACAGAAATCACTAAGCTAAAGGGAAAATTCAAGCTGAGCCCTGCTTAGGGCAAGCCTATCTTCCATTCTATTCAAAGCCATCCCTCTGCTCACTGAGATAAATGCATATCTGACTGCCTTCTTCGGAAAGGCTCATCAGAATCTCAAAAGAATGCAGCCGTTTGTTTCTCACCTACCTGTGACCTGGAAGACCCCTGCCCACTTTGTCCCGCCTTTCCAGACTGAACCAATGTTCATTTTACATATGTTGATTGATGTCTCATGTCTGCTTTGTTAAAAGTGAAAGAACTGAGTACAGTTAATGGAGTAAATGTTTTAGGTAAACTTTTTGTGTAAATTAAAATCTTAAAATTATTTTTGATGCTCATTTACTATCTGGGTCATTTCCAATTAAGAAAGGGTTGTGATATGCGGAAATATGTTTCTAAAATTGTGGAATTGTTCTTATCTATAAATGCCCATATCTTATGGTTCAGGATTTCTTGCTTTTCAGGGTTTCACTAAAGTTTTAGGTTACTAAGGATAAGAATTCTAGTTAACACATAATTCTGTACACAAAATGTGCCAGAAAGGGTTATATTATTAGTGAGAAAAAGAATAATTTTGTCTAATTATCTGAAAGTTGGTTAAACAATGTATTAAGGAACCAGTAAGTAGGAGAGAAGATTGTGGACAAAGTTTAGATAATAAAATATTCTTTAAAACCTGATAGAGAATTGGAGACATTTGGCTAATTAACATTTTCAAAGTTAAAGGTCTTAGGCCTGATTAAAGTAAAATAAGAAGTATTGTAAATAAATGCATCAGCAGTTAGGCAATTCTTTTTTTTAAAATACAGTTAAACCTGAATTTAGCATGGAGCCAAATTTCACATACATGCTTGCATTGCTTCACACTATGTTTACTGTTTTGTGCTTATAGTACTGGCACTAGAGTAATTATTGGTCATGTGTCTAGAGTGAATTTCTTTATTGCATAGGATGTATGGTGATACTGGTGAACTTAAGGATATTAAATTGTGTATCAGGAATAAAATATTCATTACATGGTTTTTAGGGGGCCCTGGGTAACACTGTAGACTCCAGGGAAGATTGAATAGAAAGGGTTTAGGGTTGGGTTCCTGTTTGTTTTTGCTTCTAGTTTTCATTCATTTGCTGTTTATTCTTCTCTGGCTTTGCTTGTGTATGCATATGTAAAACCTTTTTTTTTTTTTTTTTTTTTAGTTTCTAGTGGAAGTCTTTTATTTGGTTCTGTGAGTACTTTGTTTCTTATGTGTTTCTAGCAAGTTATCATTTGTTACATTTAACTGGAATTCCTAGGCTACCTTTGTTGGGCTACAGGAATTAATGCAACACATCAACTTTTTCACCTTAAACTAACTTTTTGGAGCTTAGGCTTCCTGATACTTTAAGTGTGTTGAGTATACTTTTGTAAATAGAATTTGAGTCATATTTCTTGCTTTCTGCCTAATTTGTCCAAAATTTGTAAACTATTTGTGAATATTCTTAATTCATGGCAATGTGTTTGTTTGCATAAAGTCAAGCAGAGTTGCTAGGACTGCTCAGGGAGAGAGAACACAAAAACCTGACATGCCAGCAAAATGGTAAGAATTTCTTAGCAGTCACACTCTGGCCTCTCTCTCTGTGCAAAGCGGTTAAATGAAAGGTAAAAGTCACTGTTTATCTCCTCTGTAAAGTTGTAATTAATATAAAAAAGAACTCCGATGTTGGTCTTATGCTGTAGCAAATCTGGTGTGCTTTGTGTGTCTTTCCGTATTGTTCTGTCATAAAGAGGGATACCTTAAGATAATATGTGTGCCTAGTATCTCCATAGGTCTGTTGTTCAACATGGCCCAGCAAACTGGTCAGTCATGTTCTTGGGAGCTTGACTTTGTAACCATGTGGCCATGCTTTCTTTTTTCAAAATGGTTGCCTGGGTTTAGGGTCCAATTCCTGGATTAGGGAATGAGTCCTTTATCTTCTGCGTATTTATATGTGTTGTGTGTGTAATATAAAAGAGCTTTAACTGGTTTAATAATAATAAGAGCTTAAATCCACTATTTTGTCAGAAAAGTAAAAAGTATAATGCCTTTTACTTTATGTGACTGAAATAATCTCTGGGAAATAAAGACAGTTTTAAAGATTATTGGTAAAATAAAAATATCTTCTAAAATGTAAACATTTGGTCTAAATTATGCAGGTCAAATAGTAGGTATGCTAAATGCTTTAAGGTCATAAACTGCTTCTTTGACTTTTAAAAACTGTTCAATTTATTTTGGAGTATTAGATTCTAGAGAAGGCCTAGGGACATGTGAAATTAGCCACGCCCCACAGCTATGCAAAGAAGGTTATAAAGAAAAGAGATTATATATAAGAAAGGATATTGTATGGTAAATTCTTGTCCTAAAGTAAAATAGCTGATTGTTTAAAAGAGGGATGTTTAGGACAAGTCAGAAGTCCAATCATGTCATAGATGGTCTGTGTAAGCTGTGAAAGAATTTATGAACAAGAATTTATGCAAAAAATGTTATACAATTTAAAGGCGATTAGGCCTCCTAAATGCTACATTAAATGCCACTATGACTCTTAACTGTACAACTTGCCTGCTTTACAGCTAGGTAATGCCTGGGACACTTGGAGTTAGATGCTAGAGAGTCAGACCTTATCTGTGCTCTATCTGGGTCCTAGGCTCCACATCTAATACACAATTAAAATCCTGAACTTACCAAGGTTTTCACCAAAAGTGAAAGTCACTAAGAGTTAACATGGTAACATGTAATTGAAACTATTGAAGAAACAGTTTTACATGCAAGGTGTGTAGAAAAGTGAAATGTGTATTTGGCAGAAAATTATAAGAAGACATGGGAATATAAATTTTTTAAACCTTTAAAATATTAATAGGTTTCCCCAAATGAAATTTAAGCTTTACAATTGTCTTTTATTCTTTGACATGTTTAGTTACATGGGAAGCATTGTCAAAAAAAAAAAAGAAAGTTTAATCATCTTCAGGTTATATTTTAGTGAATAATATTAACATATGTTCCAAAATTGTATGGGATTTATAAAATTCTAATATGCCTGAGTATATGCTATCATAATTATGCTTATTATGTTCCCAATGTAGGTAAGAAGTTATTTTATTTTATTTTATTTTTTTGAGACAGAGTCTCGCTCTGTCACCCAGGCTGGAGTGCAGTGGCATGATCTCGGCAGACTGCAAGCTCTGCCTCCCGGGTTCACGCCATTCTCCTGCCTCAGCTTCCTGAGTAGCTGGGACTACAGACGCCCGCCACTGCACCCGGCTAATTTTTTGTATTTTTAGTAGAGACGGGGTTTCAGCATGTTAACCAGGATGACCTCGATCTCCTGACCTTGTGATCCGCCCGCCTTGGCCTCCCAAAGTGCTGGGATTACAAGCATGAGCCAACGTGCCCTGCCAAGAAGTTTTAATAGTACATTCGCTGCCTCATAATCAGTCGGAAACAACATTGGTTCACTCCTGTTAACCCACATCACGGGTTAAAAAGAACATTTCTAGGAGGCCTTCACCCTTCTAGAAGGGCATCATTAGTTAGGTACTTTTTCCATGGTTTGGAGTAAAAGAAGCAATGATTAAAAATGTATCCCTTATGATAGGCTTATAGCAAATTCTACTGTACAGGCTACAGTTATACAATAAACTTTAAATTCTCTTGTGAAAGTTATGATAGAATTGGTTGAACAAAGAAGTAGCTGTGCAGCTGCTGGTACTCATGGCCTATGGAGAAAACATTGGGTATTACAGAGATTCAGATGCAGTGGATTAACGAAGAGACTGCTTGGTTAAGTGAGGAGACTCTTTAGCTCATTCTTTGATCTATTTGATTTTAGGAGGTTTGTTTTATGGGGACACTAGGAAAGAAGCATACTCCAAACTCTTGGTATGATTCTCCCAATAGTCATAGTAATAGTCTCCCTAGTGCACCGTATTCTCTCACAGGTTTCAAATGCTTGCATGGAGCCATCTCTACAATGTCAAGTGGTCTCTCTTCAACTGGAATGACAAGAGCTGAAAAAAATGTGCTACTATGAGGACACCATAACCTATGCATAATGTGCTGAGAATGGAAATGCAAAATGATGGTAACTGAGGGTGGCACTAAGGCCCTAAGTTTTGGTCACACTCTCACCTAAGTGAGAACCTAAGCAGAAAGGGGAAATATTTTTAAACAAAATTATTGGAGGCCATTGTTTTGGACTGAGCTCATTCACTAGGCCCCAACAGACCAAACCAAACTAAAATGGAGTTACTTGTGCTAAGACTTTAAGCAAACACATAGATCCTAGAACAGACTAGGTTTTGTTTTTTCTCCTGCAAATCTCTATAATAAACATTCCTGACAGTAGAGGTATCCACTTCCTGAAGTTCCCATTAAATCTTTTAACCAAATTCATTTCCTGTTGCCTAGAGACCATCAAGCTTCAGATGATCATGCAACAAGGGTTCCAGTCAGTTCCAGGTGAAGACACCAACCCTGGCCATCAAGGAATTAACCTGCCTCCACTAAACAGAGCAAGGTAAGAGTTCCATTATCCGCAATAGGTAGAGACTATGCCCCAAGCCAGTATGAAGCAGTTACAGAACAAAGACCATTGGTTCCTCCACCAGCCATAAAGATTTGTGGGTATCACATCTCTCAGATGGGAACTGAAGCAGGAGAATAGGGTCTGGAGGCAGGGAATATAAGGCCAATTCACGCTGGCTTCCTAGAGCTAAATCAAATGGAAACACTTCAGCTTTGACAGGAAATATCCTCCCCATTTATATAGGGCGTATACCAAGTAAATTACTTTGTAACTTTACTTCATCCTCTTCATTTACATAGGGCACATGCCAAGCAACCAAAGGAAACCTCTGGAGGGTATTTAAACCCCCAAAAAACTGTTATGGGGCTCTTGGGCCCCTATGCTTCAGCTGCACCCACACTGTAGAGTGTACTTTCATTTTCAATAAATCTCTGCTTTTGTTATTTCATTCTTTCCTTGCTTTGTTTGTGCATTTTGTCCAATTCTGTGTTCAAGACACCAAGAACCTGGACACCCTCCACCGGTAACAAATAGATGTCTCACGTTCATGGATTATACGACTTAATATGGTTAAAATGTCTATAATACCCAAAGAAATCTATAGATTCAGTGAAATCCCTATCAAAATCCAATGACATTTTTTGCGGAAATAAGAAATTCGTTCTAAATTTCATATGCAATCTCAAGGGACCCCAAATAGACAAAACAATTTTGAGGAAAAAAAAACAAGTTGGAGAACTCACACTTTTTGATTTCAAAACATAGTACAAACTATAGCAATCAAAATAGTGAGTGCCATCAGCACAACACACACACAACAAAGGAAGAAACTTGTTGTCCATGGGAGGCCCCCGGCGGCAGGCGGCAGGCAGCAGCCGGCAGCGGGCGCAGAGGCCAGGAGAGGAGGCCAGGGGCTGCCGGAGCGCAGGGAGTGAGGCCTGCTGTCATGCTCCCGCGCCCCCTGCACCGCGGCCACAGCTCCCTGGCCTTGTATGCCTGCAGCGCGGGTCGCCTGGGGCAGCGCAGCTCACCACAGCCCAGAAAGGAGCAGCACCTGTGCATCACATGGCAGGCAGCCCCACGCCCAGCGAGCTCCCTACCTACTGGCCTTGGCTGTAAGCCGCCCCACAGCTGGTGACGCTGGCGGCCTGGCTGCTTGGCAGGCAGAGCTTGTATGAACACGGGACTTCTTGGTGAGGCCTGAGCAGACAGCTGGCTAGAGTGATCAACAGGTTGGTAAAAACCCTGTGTCCTTGGAGAAAGCTGGTTCCCGTTTTCCAGAGGGGAAACCCAGGGTTTGAAAGGCTGTGGTTGGCACTTTGAGAAGGAAGAAGAGAGTAAAGACAGGGCCTGGAGCACAGGACTGGGGGAACCCTTTGTAAATCCAGTTGCAGAAACAGACACCCCAATGCTGTTTACATACAGCTCTCTCTATATATATAGAAAAAGAAAATATGAACTATTTATCAGGTGCATGCCTTGTCGAGGACGTGGTCACCTTCCTTTTCTGCACCTTCCAATGTGAAGTTTAATATTCTGTAATGTCTGGGGCACCAGAAGAGAGATGCCTGCTGTGTGCTTAGAAAATTTGCATGGGAAATAGCTGATGGCAATTAGCTCCAGCATCGACCAACTGCCTGGGGACAGATGCTGGTGGAATAAGAGGTAACACTGCAGAAGACATGATAGAAAGAAAAATAAAAAGTGAGGACTTGGCGCCAATTGTGTAGGGGCAATCTAGGATACCTCCATTTCTTGGCATATCCTAGCTTCTCTCTGTGTACCTACCTAAGTAGATTGCTAGCTCCCACTGTCATGTCAAGAGAACTGGGAATTTTGTTTTTCCTACCAAAAACTGGCATCATACTGGCATAAAGACAAACCACTAGAATAGAATAAAAAGCCCAGAAATAAACCCTTGGTTATATGATTAAATGATCTTCTACCAGAGTGCCAAGACCACTCACTGGGGAAAAGACAATCTTTTCAAAAAAGGGTATTAGGAAAACTGGATATCCACATGCAAAAGAAGGGAGTTCGACCCTTATCATATACCATATACAAAAATTAACTGAAAATGGATTAAAGATCTAAAACAATAAAACTCCTAAAGTAAACATAGGGGGAAGCTTCATGATGCTGGAATTAGCAATAATTTCTTGGAAAGGACATCAAAAGTACAAACAAGAAAAACAAAAAAATATGCAAATGAGATTATATTAAAGTTAAGAACTTTTGTGCATCAAAAGACACGATCAACAAGGTGAAATGACAACCTATGGAACGGGAGAAAATATTTGCAAATCATATATCAATAAATGGTTAATATCCAGAATATATAAGAAACTCCTACAACATCAAAAACTCAAATAACCCAATTAAAAAGCAGGGAAAGGACTTGAACAGCCATTTCTGCAAAGATGATATATAAATGCACAGCAAGCATGTGAAAAGATGCTCAATATCACTAATCATTAGATAAATGAAAATTAAAGCCACAATTAGATATAATTTCATACCCATTAGGTTGTCTATTACCAGAAAAATGGAAAATAACAAGTATTGTTGAGCATGTGGAGAAATTGGAACAGTTGTGTGCTGTTGAGACTGTAAAATGGTTCCACTGGTATAAAAACAGTATGGGGGTTCTTCAGAAAATTCAAAATAGAGCTACCATAAGATCCAGTATTCCCACTTCTGGGTATATTACCAAAAGAAATGAAAGGGTAGTCTCAACGAGATTTACACATCCATGTTCGTAGCAGTACTGTTTATTAACAGTCAAGTTGTGGAAGCAAGCCAAATGTTTATCAATAGATGAGTAGATAAAGAAAATGTGGTATATACATTCTAGCCTAATGGATGAAGGAATTCTTGTCACATGCTACAGTATAGATGAATGTTGATGATGCTAAGTGAAATAAAACAGTCACAAAAAGACAAATCTTGTACGACTCCACTTATATGAGGTATATGAAGTAGCCAAAATTGTAGGAAAAAGATAAATGGTAGGGAATGCTGAGGGAAGTGGGAAAAGGGGAGTTATTGTTTAATGGGTATAGAATTAAGATCTACAAGATGAAAAAGTTCTAGAGACGTATTGCATAATAATGTGAATGTATTTACTACTGAACTGTACATTTAAAAATGGATAAGATGGTGAATTCTGTACCTTTTTAACCACAGTTTTTCGAATGAAAAAATGAATAAATCATTCATTTTTCATGACTCATATGACGTTTTTAGTTGGTATACGTTTTTAAAGACATGTAGTCCAAACTCCTCCTTTCATGTATTAGGAAATTGAGATGCATAGTTATTAACTAATTTGTCTAATGTTATATACTTTGACAGATTTGGGACATGGAGACATGTCTTCTTATTCTTATGTCACTTCCACTTACTCATGCTACTCATGCCACATTAGAGGCCAATTCCTTAGAAAAATGCAAACCAGATTCTCACTGGCATCTTCTTTCAAGAAATAAGAAAAATACGAACAACTGGGTAACAAATGGGGCTAGGGAAAAGTGAAGAACTTGGGAATAAAAATAGGAAAATCAAATAATAAAGTCAAATATCAGAAAAAACTTCTGTCTTCAGAATGATATACAATATATTAGGGATTTGAGACCCAAAGATCAGATTGTCAATTATAATCAAGCCTGAATCTATTTTAAGAATTACTTGGAATGCTGTCTAGTATTAAAATTCAAAGAGATGCTAAATAATAATGAGGTATTAGTTGTCACTCTATAATTGGAGTTCAAATAGCAAGCACTACTAAATTAAATACGTAATTTCCTCTGAAGCTATTACCTATGTTTACAAAAGCTTTAATCTGGTGGACAGCCCAACTAATGTAAAGATATGCATATTTTGCCAAACATTTTATTTTGTCACACCTAGTGGGGGTACAAAAGACAGTTTTTGTTCTGCTATCCCTCTCTATTTACCTATCAATACAGCCAAGGAAGGCATTTGACTATGAATATTATTACCATATCAGGAAAGAAGACAAAAAGTTGAAATTATCAGGTATTTTAAGGGAGTTAAAAATTCAAATTTCCACCTTGTTTGCATACATCCTGTTTAGAGTTTTTATTGGGAGGCATATTAGTTTTTCAAAAATGAAAATGTTATTCCAAACTTCATAAATAATATTCTGTACATGCTATCATATTTTATTTGAGGTGTTTGCCCAACTATTTATTAAGGCCACAATGGCCTTCTAGATTTAACTTGTTTGTTTAAAGCAGAAATGTAGCTTCTCTGGCATGTCTTTACCTTCTGGTGAACCTGGCCTGAGGGGAAGATTTTGGGATCATGAAATTACTGAAATCTTTATTTTATACTTGACATAGAAGCAAATTTTAGTTCTGAAGGGTGCTATTAAGCCCATCTGGTCAACTTATTGTTATTCTAATACATATTAGAATAGAAAGTTATGGAGTAGAATAATTAATCTCCAAAAGATCAATTAATACATGTTAATTTTCTGTAATTTATGTATTCTTTAGTAATAGCTCTACATGTGATTAATTTAACCTTAACCATTCAGGTGGTACTTATTTGTGCTCAGCATATGAAAAAATTATAATGGAACATAAAGGAAAAAAACTGAGTGGACTTGTTTATTATATTTTAAAATGTATTTGCAAAACGATAGGAATATGCCAATGGACAATAATTTAAATAGAATTTTCAGTGCCTTAATGGAAGTTTCTTTTTTTTTTTTGAGACGGAGTCTCGCTCTGTCGCCCAGGCTGGAGTGCAGTGGCGTGATGTCAGCTCACTGCAAGCTCTGCCTCCCGGGTTCACGCCATTCTCCTGCCTCAGCTTCCCAAGTAGCTGGGACTGCAGATGCCTGCCACCATGCCCGGCTAATTTTTGGTATTTTTAGTAGAGACAGGATTTCACCGTGTTAGCTAGGATGGTCTCGATCTCCTGACCTCGTGATCCACCTACCTCAGCTTCCCAAAGTGCTGGGA